GCTTCCAAGTGGCCATCTGGATGCAACATTTGGTCTCTCCTTGTCCAGAGCAAAGAAAAATGAAGAAAATCAAAGCACATGGAAGCAATTAGTCCAAGAGACTAATGGACCATGCAAACTTCAGCCTATGTGACCATGAGACCAGAACTAGATGATGCCTGGGACTACCAATGTCAACCACATGGAAAGGGATCAGTGCATGAGATGCTGGATAGAATTGGAGAAAAATGTGGAACAAAACTCAAAACCAGAAAAAGGTCAGGCTTATTCATCTGATAGACTGGTGAAACCCCTGAGACTATGGCCCCTGGTCACCCTTCAGGGTTAGAATTGAATTCACTCCAATGGCTTTCAGCCAAACAATATAAGGCATATAAGGTGAATGTATACATGAGGTAGGTTCACATTCCTTAGAACAATCAACTATAAGAGATCAGAAGGGCAGTGTTTGCACAGGGAGATAGTACAGAGGGCAGGAATGCATATGAAAAGAGGATAGAAGGAAAAGGTAACCACAGGGAGGAAGTAGAAGAGAGCTGTTATGTTATGGAGATTACAATCAATGTCATGAAACAAAATGTGTATGAACTGCTGTATGGAAAATGAATTTTCTCTATAAACTTTCACCCAAATCACAATAATAAATAAATAAAGGCAGGAAAGGAAGAAAAGGACAGAATGGATGTCAGAAGGAACTCTGAAATTTGCCCTTGAGAGTAGTTAAAGCCAATGGAAAAAAATGATGAAATAAAAGACCTGAGCAGAAGATTTCAAAGGTGGCTCAAGAAGACAAAATAAAACATTGTAATAAAATATGCAAATATCCAGAATTAGAAAACCAAAAAGAGGAAGAACACCCATGGCTCTTCTCAAGCTAAAGGAACTGAAGAAAAAATTCAAACACTGAGTTGCAATATTGAAGGATTCTATAGGCAAAATATTGAGTGATGCAGGAAGCATCCAAAAATGTTGGAAGGAATGCATAGAATCACTGTACCAAGAAGAAGTCATATGTTAAACCATTTCAGGAAGTGACACATGATTAATATCAATGGAACTGAAGAATGAAATCCAACCTACACTGAAGGAATTGGTGTAAAATGCTCCAGGGATTGGCAGAATAGCCATTGAGATGTTTCAACAGATGGATGCAGCACTGGCGGTACTTAGTCATTGGTGAAAAGAAATTTGAAAGACAGCTACCTGTACCATATTTATGCCCATTCCAAAGGAAGGTGATCCAACAGAAAGTGGACATTATCAACCAATATCATTATTATTACATGTAAGTAAAATATTGCTGAAAGTAATTAAAAAACAGTTGCAGCAGCATAAAGAATAAAGTAGAATCTGCAAAACAACACATAACATGGATGAACTTGGAGGACATTATGCTGAGTGAAATAAGTCAGTTACAGAAGGACAAATATTACATTAGACCATTATTGTAAAAAGTCAAGGAAAGGTTTATATATGGAAAGAAATTTTCATTGTTAGTTACTAGGGGTGGGAGGGAGAGACAGGGAGGGAACGCTACTAGATAGGTAGAGACAAGTACTGATTTGAATAAAGAGAAGGGCAGTGTACCAAATGTGAGTGATCAACACATTGACACTGAAGAAGAGGAAGGCATACAGAGGTTCATGGGAGGTACAGACAACAAAGATGAACCTTTTTGCACATACAGTACTGCATTGTCAGTGAAGGCAAACATTGATATATGGGTGGATAGATGGGTGGACAGGCTGAACTATTAGGTATGTCTATGCAGGGGGGAGTGTACCCAAGACCATGTATAGGGTTGGCAGACAATGATTCTACAACTGTATTTGTATGTTCTATAAGAATTCCCAGGTATATAGCAGAGCTGACAAGGGACAAGGTTTTAGTCACTTCTTGGCTATAGCCAGGTACCCAGAGAGAGAGAGTAGTTGGGCCTATGGGCTCAGGACCATGGTCTCAGGGGACACCAAACTCAAATGGCATAACATACTACACAAAAACATTGTTCCACATCCTACTTAAGCGAGTAATCACTGGGATCTTAAAAAGCTGCAAGGGCCATCTAGATGCAACAATGGGTCTCACCTCATCCAGAGCAAAAAAGAATGAAGAAAACCAAAGACTTGTGGAAATAATTAATCCAAGGGACTGGTACACCATGCGATCCTCAACCTAAATGACTATGAGACCAGAAGCACTAGATGGTGCCTGGCTACTACTCTCAACCACTCAGAGGAGGATCTATGTAGGATATCTTGCATAGAGTGAAGAACAATGTGGAACAAAACTCAAAATCATTAAAAAAAAAAAAAAAAAAAGGACCAGGTTT